GAATCAGGGACACTAGTACGCAACACACTCAGGGTGTGAATGAGGTATGGCATACCCCTAGGACGGTGCACTGCTTACGTAGGCAGGAACCCCATTTCCAGAGACACTTCATCCAAATACGATTGGGGGCTTGATGGGCCCATCCTCCCTCCTTTTTTAATTATGCTAATAGATTGGCCCTTTAGGAGGGTGGCTTACTTCTGCAGTGTCCATGTTATCCAATTTTAATTATTTTCAATTCTTCTCTTATTTTCAACTTTGGAGCATCCAAAATATTTCAGCAGGAGGGCCCTTTTCCCAAGAAACCATTATTAGTAGCAGTAATTACATACCGGCTCTTAATATAATCCCATACGGAACGTGTTTCCATTTAAGTCACATTTTACTAAATAGCTGGATTACTCCACAAATGATTTGAGAACTCTATAAAGGACATTTTCAATGAAAAGGTTTTGTTTGGGACAATAAGGTATGTCAGAGCAGCTTCATCTGAGAAATAAGATTAATCCTGAAAGTAATCACTCAATTAGCACCTAGCGATTTGGAAAGCAAAGCCTGAAAAGTTATAAACACGTGTGATGCCGGATGTGGTAGGAAAGCCAGGCCGTGGGGTGGGGTAAATGGACTTCGGGTTTGGAGGATGGGTGGACGCACCGGGAGCTGTGCTCACCAGCTGCGTGACTCTGGGCAAGTCTCCTCACCCCTCTGGACCCAAGTGGGCTCTTCTGTGAAGTGGAGAAAACCAGGAATTCACAGGCTCCTGAGTAAGGATAGAAGGTGTCTTGCCCAGGACACAGCACATGACAAAGACACAATAAAAGGTGGTTCTTGGGGGCCCCAAGGAGGATGTGAGTCACCTTTCCCTGGCTGAGAGGGGATGGGACTGCTCTGGAACAGAGCGGTTCTAGTAATGGATAGTGAAGGCAGGGAGAGGAGGGCCAGGCACAGAAGAGCAAGCTGGGGAAGGAAGCATGAACTCCGACTCCTGAGCCAAGCTGACTGCCCGGGAGCCTCGGCATGTGGGAGCCAAGGCTGAACCAAACGGCCGGAAGACTCCTGAGTGAGCTTTTGCTGCAACAAAAAACTCTGGATCATTCTGAGAACCTCCTGGGAGGTACCAGTATGTTTCGGTGCCATCCCAGTTCCGATACTGTTAGAATTCGTTCCAAATAAAGTGTGTGCAACCTCAAGCTGGCTAGCAGCTGGGAAAACCAGAGTAGATCCACTTGCCCTTGAGAAACACAAGAAGGTGGTATTTAATGATGTCACAGATAAGGTACCTTGGCAGAAATGAGGTAAGGAAGGGCCTGAAGGCAACCAAACCAGCACATATCGAGGATGGGTAAGTGGGTGAGGGCCTGAAATCCCAGCTCAACAGATTGCCAGGGGAGGTCCTCACTAGCTCAGCGCTATGTTCATAGTGCAATGATACGAAATGGTAATGACAGACTTCAGTGCCAAATTTGAGCTTCCATTCCACAAAACAGGAGGGAGAGGGAACAGAGTACAATGGGGTTCACCGAGAATACCCAAACAGATGACAGAGATGGTAAAAGGATTGAGTTCCTTCAGTCTACAACCTACAAAATTTGATGGAAACATTTCTGCCATGTGAGTATTAGTCTTGTTTTTGTTCCCATTTCCTTTGCTCATGTCCCTGGCAGTAAATATTTCAGGGTAATTCTCTCTCTGGGAGTACTATTTGCTGGTCGACTTCAAGTTACTATATGGTAGAATGAAACTATACAATGATAAATTCTGTTCTCTGAAACTGATTCACAGGTACCCACCCAATTATGGCTTAAAATGCAAAAACAAACAATATAAAACACTAAATGGTGGATCTTTGAGATCATTCCATTCAACCTCTTCACTGGAGATGAGGAAACTGAGGCACTAAATACCGTATTTTTCGGACCATAAGACGCACCAGTTTTTAGAGAAGGGAAATGAAGAAAAAAATATTCTGAAACAAATAGTGTCCTAAAATATTTTATGTGCATTAAAACCCAACATCACAGTCATAAACACATGTAATCAACCCTGTAAAGTAAACAGCAGCATTTAGAACCATTTTAGAGCCGGGCAAGCACACAGAGACCACACAGAGCCGGGCAAGTAAAAAAACTTTTTTTAAAGTATATGTGTAGGCTATATTTGGACCATAAGACGCAAGGACTTTTTCCCCCCACTTCTGGGGGGAAAAAAGTGCGTCTTATGGTCCGAAAAATACGGTAGATTTGAAAGATTTCCCAAAGACCCACAGTTGGTTAGGGCAAATCCAGAAATTTCTTCCTCTGAGCATCAAACAATAGTTATAATGGGATTGACTCTGGAAAAGGAAGACAATGTTTAACATGTTTAAATAATTGTGTTTAGTATTCTCTTCCAAGTCTGGTTTCAATATTAACATTATTGTATAACGAGAGGCCCAGTGCACAAAATTTGTGCACTCGAGGGAGGGGGAGTCCTCAGCCCAGCCTGTGCCCTCTCGCAGTTGGACATCCTTAGTGCTACTGCCAATGCTCTCACCAGCTGTGAGCCTGGCTTCTGCCTGAGTGCCTAAGCAGTGCTCCTGCTGTGGGAGAGCGCTAATCACCATGGGGCAGCTCCTGTGTTGAGCGTCTGCCCCCTGGTGATCAGTGCTCGTCATAGTGATCTGTCTTTCCACCATTTGGTTGATTTGCATATTAGCCTTTTATTATATAGGATATGGTTATTACAGCATCACTAGGACCACTGGACTTGATTTCTCTAGTTTAAATACAACATCAATAGGCAAAGTTTCACAAGCTGGTATGAGGTACTCTTCTAGAGTGACAGTGTGGATAGAAATAAGCACAACACTAGATGACACACTGGAAAACAGCCACCAAACTTTCAAAAACTTATATGCCTCTGAATCAATGGGTCCACTGCTAAGACTCTGCTCTCTGACTGGACTCACAAAAGTATGTATCAATAATGCTCACTGCACCATAGTTGAGACCCAATTTTGAATGAAAATGCAAGAGAGACTGAACTTAGAGACAGCATCACCTAGAATAGCAAAGCAAGGAAAACAACCCAAATATCCTTCAAAAAGGGAGACTGGTTAAATAAATTACAGCATAAGATGATGATGGACTATTACAGAGCAGTTAAATACAATGAGGTAGAGAAGAAAACGAGGAAAATAAGAAAAGATCTATATTACTAAGTAAAAAATAATCAAACTGTATAAATATATATATATAGTGTGTGTGTAAGTATATACAACCTTTATCTGGAAGAATACACAAGAAATGGTTAATAATATTTACTTTCCGCTGAAGCCGGTTTGGCTCAGTGGTGGAGCGTTGGTCTGTGGACTGAAAGGTCCCAGGTTCGATTCCGGTCAAGGGCATGTACATTGGTTGCGGGCACGTCCCCGATGGGGGTTGTGCAAGAGGCAGCTGGTTGATGATTTCTCTCATCGATGTTTCTAGCTCTCTATCTCTCTCCCTTCCTCTCTGTAAAAAATAAATAAAATATATATATTTTTTAAATAATAATAATAATAATATTTACTTTCCAAGAGAAGGATTGGGAAGGACTTCCACTTTTTACTTAATACTATCCCATTTTGTATGAAGATATAAACCACATGCATATATTACCATTTACTCACTTTATACAATTCTAAAAATTATGAGGCCCCGTTTTGTATATTTAATTTAATACCAAATAATGAAACAGGTGAGATTAGGACAAGAGTTCATTTGAAATATACAGAATTTTTCAAGAAAAAACAAATCTTCCTTTTTTTGACTTTCATAAATTTTCAGTCCAGAATCTCAGACATCATCCTCTTAAACAAACCATGGTCTACTTCTTCAGATGGCAAGAAATCTTCCATGGTGTTCAGAAAACGAAGACAGTCTTGGCAAGTATGATCCAAGCCCTTCACGCTCTGCTCCCAGCCATGTGACTGTCATCACCTCCACCCCCTCCTCCTCCTATTCCCCTGCCTGGTGTGACCTTTCTCCCACCTTCCCCCTAGTCTTTATTTCTTTCTCTTTTTTTTTTCTTTTTTTTTTTGAAAGAAAAATTCTTTTTTTTTTTTTTAATACATTTTTATTGATTTCAGAGAGGAAGGGAGAGGGAGAAAGAGAGAGAGACCAGTTCTACTCCTGGTCAGGGAATATGCCTGGGTTGTGGGCTTGATCCCCAGTAGGGAGCATACAGGAGGCAAATGATCAGTGGTTCTCTCTCATCATTGATGTTTTTCTCTCTTTCTCTCCCTCTCCTTTCTTCTCTGAAAGCAATAAAAATCTATCTTTTAAAAAACAGTATTTCCTTGACATTGGCAGAGCTCACTTCCTTACTACATTCAGGTCTTTGATCAGATGTCACACCTCCTTTAGAGGAGTCTCTGCTGACCACCCAACCTGAAAGAGTTCACGCTGCCCCTCCTTACCACTCACACCACTTTATTATGTTTCACTGTATTAAAAACCACCTGACATCAGGGTCTGTTTCTCCTACCAGAAGGTAACCCATGAGTTTTGTTTGAGGCTATATCCTGAGCCCAGAGAGCACTGCAAGCCCTCAGTGACTATTTCCTCTTACATGTATCAACACCAACATCTACACAGAGATAAAAAAGCAAAACCCAGAGACAGGGCTAAAGTCTGCTCCTTTCTCACCCTGAAGTTCATAAGCATAACAAGCTCTCAGTTGTATTTAGGGGTGTTCACCACACTTTTTTTTTTTCTTCATACGTGAGCTAAGTGAGTCAACATTCACCAACCTCTGACTATAGGGCAGTGGACGCTGACAATGAACTGTAAATCAGTGTGGGTGAAGGCGGGCCTGCCAGTCCTTTTCATTCATCAAGTCAACAAAGTGAACGTCGCTTTCTATCTAAAGAAAACATTATTCCAAGAGCAATAAACTTTACGCACTGCACCACAACCGCCATGTGTTCATCCTGGCGAATGTATTTGACAATTAAAAGACAGAGTCGAGTTCTTGCTTACCCATTCTCCTAAAATGAGGGACACGGCTTCATTGGCTCTGCTCATATTCCGACAGGCCAGGATCACGTGAGCACCATGGAGGGCAAAAGACTTGGCGGTTTCAAACCCTATGGTTTAAAGGAAAGTCAACATTAGAAAACACTGAAACACGGTGAACGACCTTTATTGAGCCTATACACATCACCCTGTTGGTTCTCAACCAGGTTGTGTAGCGCCGCTGTTCTGAACTGGGTGGGAGTGGGAATGGGGGGAAATCTTGCTGAATGACCGGATGCATCCATCAGGCTAATGAAATGCTGAAAGCCAAACGGAGGTTACAGGATGTGGCCAAAAACGACTTCACTTGCAATCCAGGACTTCATACACCCCGATATTACTGAAAATGATGGATTCCGTGTCCCTATGAAATTTCCAGGTGAGAGCAATTATCGGAAATATTTCTTAGCACATTTTCATCAGACTACTTAAAAAATGATGTAGGGGAGAAGGGGCACATAGTGGACAAAAGGCTTAGTCATTTGTTAGCAAACATATTTCCGATGGATTGAGAGATTATAGACACAATGCTGGGCCAGGCAGGGCTTTATGTATCTAATTTACCAGGTTAATGGCAAACACCTTACAATTTTTGCCCTTTTCATCTCTGTATCCCAATGGACTAACACTCAGTAGGATTCAAAAAATATCTGCCAAAGGAATGAATGGCTCTTACATATTATTACTAAGCTACAATTCTGGACTACTATAAAACAAGCCAAATTGTTTTAAATAGTTCTGATGACCCTCTTCCTTTCAAATAAATAAATGTTAAAATCCTGCAGATTTGAATGGCACTACCTAGAAATCTGTGGGGGCAAATCATGCACTTCTATTAAAATTTATTTTCTTGCCCTGGCCAGGTGGCTTGGTTGGTTGGAGTGTCATTTCATACACCAAAAGATTATGGGTTTGATTCCTGGTCAGGGCACATATGGTAGGTTGTGGGTTTGATCCCCAGTTGGGACATATATGGGAGGCAACTGATGGATGTTTCTTTCTCACCTCTCTCTTTGTCTCCCCCCTCTCCCTAAAACTCTAAAATCAATAAAAACATATCCTCAAAGGAGGATTAAAAAGCCAATCTAATAAAAGGGTAATATGCAAATTAACCATCACTCCATCACAAATATGGCGGTGCCCATAGCCACAAGATGGCGGTGCCCAGTCCCCTCACTTTCCCCAGAGTCCCCCAGTCCTGGGGGGGCTGCTGCTAAGAGCAGGCAGTGTGAGCACCTGGAGGAATGCTTGCTTCATCTTCTTGTGGATGGAGGGCCTCTGGGCAGCAGGAGCAGAGTAGCCGGGGTGGGATGCTTGCTTCATCACGGCAGTAACACCCCAGCTGTAAAGGGCCTCTGGGGAACTAGGGGTAGGGGGTTAGGGGCCAGCCCACAGCCTCCACGGCCAAGGCCTAGAGAGGAGATAGCAGGCCAGCCTCCCACAGAAGCAATGTGGTTCCGTGGAAGCGGTGGGCGGCCTACTGCACGCGATATCGTGCTATGGGCTACGGGTGTATATATGTTTTCCAAAACAAACCTGTCAAGTTATGCTACTTCGCTTGACAAAATAACCTCTGGCAAAGGACTTTTTATTACCAGCAAGAACACATCTGACGTGATGGCAGCAACGGGCTGCTGGTGCAAGTTTGCACCCGGTCGGTCTCCCTAGATAATCCCTGACAGTGGCTCTGGTGAAGCCATCTGTCCCTGTGTCGTGGGAAATTACACGGAGGGTCTTCCACCTTCCTTAAACGAGCAATGCCTCACACACCGCTAGTCTACCCTTAAAGCTTCGGCAGGCAACTCCGTCTCCTGATGCTTTACAGTGGCCTTTGGAGCAGAAACAAAGCATAGATATTTCAAAAGATGATGGCTTAACAGGAAGGACCATAACATTTTTATAGTAAACCGTATCTCTAGAGTGTGGAGTTAAAAAAAAAAAAAAAAAAAAAGTTGAATAATGCTACCTACTGCGAAAGTCCTGGAAAGTCCAGGAGAATAGCATCCTTCACTCCCATTTAATTAGTTAAATGTAGAGAGCTAAGCCAATTCTGCACGATGCCAAGGTTTGCACAAAATATTCAAGGCAGTGGTTTGCTAAATTTAATAACCTGATTCGTCTTACAAAAAATTAACTTTATGACAATGCTTGGATTGAACGAGCTTAGCTGCACAGACGTGGCAAGAGTGCTTTCAGGAGAATATTTAAGTTAATAATACCAAGAAAATAAGGGAACACATTTTAAAACAATGGGCAGTGTCAGTTTTCCAGCACTTGTTCCAGCCAATCCAAGTGGGGAAATTCAGTGCCCGTGGAGGTTTGATATCTCCGTCTCGGGTTTTAAGCTTTGCCTACAGACATAAAAGTACCATAAGAGGTAAAACATCCCCAAAATATTAAATACCTGCTTATCTTATACTAGTTTTCATTCTCTAGAATGGTGATCACAGGATAAATCAAGCCCACAGGCCGGTTTTGTTTGGTCCATGCTTTGTTTCCCTGCCTCCCTCCATTTTTTCCTTCCAATATGAATTAGTTACCAGTATTAAAAAAAAAAAAAAATCAGGGAGATTCCATACCCAAAAGTAGATATCCAACTTCTTTGAAAAAGCTTGCCACACTGGGCCCCTAAAACGCCTTGCATGGGGTTAGTACCCTCCTGAAGGCCTAAGTCACCCCCACGCTACTGACATACCTGTCCTACTGACACACCTGTCCTACTGACATACCTGTCTGGCCACTGTGGGCCTTTGATGCTCAGATGCGCATTACCTGGGGCAGATGCCTGCTAGAGACAATGGCTCAGGACTAAAATCATAAAATAGCCTGAATCAAAAAGTTCACCTCTGTAATGTGGAATCTCAAAGACTGTTTCACACAGATCTGATTGAGACATTACTTAGGCCACCTTGAACTCCAGAATCTCAAGCATGAGAAAATGGAGACTAGCTGGGCCAGGGAGACCTGGCAGCAGCACTCAGCTTTGCCCTGTGAGGACTCGGGGCTCTGCAGGAATTTGGATACATGGTGCAAGTTCCTTACCCTCCTGTGCATCTCCCAAGTGTTGCTGTGTGGTAGAAGGACCTCTGGACCGGGAACCACTTTGGGGCCAAAGGATATAGACGTGAACCAGACAAGCAGTAAAGACTGGGTGAATGGCAAAACAAGGTCAAGGGCTGGAGAGAGCCCATGAGAATGAGGAACAGGAACCGCAATGGGAGATGAAACCCTGGGCCCCAAAATAAGACTGTGGGGCTCTTTTGCATGTGGCAGGGAATGTGTACAAAAACCTGGGAGGGGCCCTCGCTGGTTTGGTACAGTGGATAGGGCGTCAGCCTGTGGACGGAAGGGTCCCAGGTTCGATTCTAGTCAAGGGCATGTGCCTTGGTTGCGGGCACATCTCCAAAGGGGGGTGTGCAGGAGGCTTCTGTCGATGTTTTTCTCTCATCATTGTTTCTAACTCTCTATCCCTCTCCCTTCCTCTCTGTAAAAAATTAATTATTTATACATATATATATTTTTTTAAATTTTTTTAATTTTTTTTAAGAACCTGGGCAGGGAGTAGCACTACAAACTATTGTTATGTTATCCACTTAAGATGCCTCTGGTTCTCACATAGATGAGGGATTGATGAAGACACTAAAGCCTGTGACCAGCCAGGAGGGGTGAGGAGCCGCTGATACTCAACAGCTAAGAGGAAACCAGAAAGCCATCTGGGAAGCACAAATCCACAAAGCCTGAGACTGCCTGCGTCTACCTGAGAGAGAGCACCCAAGGTCCCCAAGGATGGCAGCTGGGACATGGGTGAGATTGCCAACTGGTTTACCCAGACAAGGAACACAAGGGGAAGAGTGGTGTGTGTGGCAGCGGAGAGGGCGGGAATGGAGGCCACACCCAGGGAGACGTACCGCTAGGCTGGATGGACAAGGAGAGTCACCAATTCCTCAGGCACGAGGCACGTGAGGCTGGGAGCCCAGGCCCAGCAATCACGGAAGTGCAAGCTCAAACAAGGCCGTTTCTCTCCCAACGCCAGGAAGGTTCCTTCTGGTTTGAGTTTTTTAATTTTCTCCACACTGTGGCTTTACTTGAGCAGTGTCCCCATTTACTGTAAATTATTATTTTAATTATCATTTTTATTAAGATGCCCAAAGGAGCTGGGGCTTACAGCACCCGTAATTTCTAATGGGTTGTTATTATTAATTTATAATTGTGAAACACTGGAGATAAATGTTACTTGTAGCTGAACACAATTAAAAGGCCACAGAGATGGTGATTCCCTCCCCCTAGCCCCCCAAGAGCAGACCATTAAAGCGTCGTTAGGAACCAACCAACAAGTTGCCAGCACCAGACATCTCCCTCCCTGGAGAGCTACCCTCACATACATAAGCTTAATGTCTTTCATCTTGAGTTAGATCTGGGGACAATTCAAATTTGGGGGTAGTTTTTATGTTAATAAAACAGTAGCTTAGAGCAGTGGTCACCAACCAGTAGGCTGCAGACCACTGGTGGTCCGTGAGATCCGAAAGGTTGGCAACCACTGGCTTAAAGGATGCGAGTTCCCCCTTCATTGTCCTACAAGCACAAGGACCCTACTTCCCAAACTGATGCAATTAATGAGAATAAAACTGCAATGACACTGCACTCTAACTCCCGGCACTTCGGATGAAGACTTAGACACATATCCACCACAACCGTAAGGTCAATGCCACAGAACAATAACCAGAGAATCCATAACCTCTGTTTCTGCAGTCACTTGCATTACCTGAGTGATCACATGTACCTCTCGAGCCATTTCAATGACATAGTTCTGAGTTCCAAAGAATTATAAATTGTGTCCGCTAAACCCTACCCACAGCTGCCAACTCAAGAAATTACAAAACTGCACAGGTCTCTCCAGAGGAAAATAAGTCATCACCAGCCCTGGCTTCAGGGCACGTGTTATATACAGCTAGCAACAAGTACCACACAGAGCTTCCTAAATCCTCCTGATAACGTAAATGGGTTTCGAATAGAAATACATATCAAAGAAAGATACCGGTTCACGTGATGAGGACACAGAAGCGGGGAATGG